CAGCGTCTGAAGCAACAATGACTGTAATTGTTTCTTCATGTGTGTGGAGAATAATCAACCGACACGGAGCTACTTATGACGAGAGTCCAGCAACTGGTACTACCGATGAACAAAACTGAGATAACGGACAAGTGAAAGAAGAACAGTCACGAGAAAAGCATTGCCAGTTCGGGTCTTACCTTTGCTGTATTACGTTGTGCGTTCTCAAGTATATGTGGCTCCGGTCCCCAGTCCGGTCGAATGGGCTTTAATGCTCTTGAGATAGACAATGTAAGGGGTCGTGATGATGGTCTGCCCACTATGTTCTGAGCTGCCGCCAGGACACGCTGCTGCATCATTTCGTGAGTATCTCATGGTGAGTAGATTCCAGATATCATTGAGGTGTGATTACGGTACTTCATAGATGTTACCATGTTCGACGTCGCCTGTATTAAATGTCACACCTAGATTCAGAGAGCAATCTGCCACGTCCTATCGAGACCAACCCGATTCGGAGTTCTGCAACCTACAAAGAAACAACCCGTGGCACATATATTCTACCACTAACCCCGATAGTAGCCAAATCACGTGTAAACGACTACTACAATACATACACTTCGAAACGAATTCAAACGTATTGGGCCAGGCCGAATGCACCAATACGGCAGGAGCACCACTTTGGGCCGGGTACGTGACAAGAGAATCGTCATTCACCACGCTGGTGGGCCTCGCGTACGACATGGCACAGCAAATGAGGATGGCTCCAGATAGTAGATAACGATAACAAGCAACGTAGAACCGAAAATAGTCATGAATGTCTACGATGACGGGGTCTACATGAAGTCCAGTGCTCCAATCGACAGGTTAACAAGAGTTGAGGAAACGCCGCGCTCATCGCCGCGCGCGGCAGAGCGGCAAATTGCCACTCTCTTGCCCGTCTCGCCTTTTGGCCCATGTGTCAGGGTGATGGTCTATGCGACTGTTACTGTTGGTTAGTTATGGTGAAGACATGCCCTATGATTTCTTGTAGTGGCGTGCGATTCTATTGCATTTCAAAGGGGATTCGTTGCGACCCAAACCGAGTTCTATCGGCTGACCGGTAGTGGGAACATTATCAAGACAGTAATCTCGTGTTGCACTCCACGATATAGGCATTGAATCTATGGTAATCATTTTTGCAGACGCCATTTCATTAGTGCCGGCTTAGTAGAAGGTAGTAGACTGATAAGCAGGTATCATCCGCAGAGATGGAGCGTGTGCGGCATTGTGGGCAGCAAACGCACGCTAGGTGAACACTAGCTAGCGGTGTGAAACAGCCACAAGTGCAATGCCTGAAACAAAATGCAAACAAACTTACAAAACAAATACGGTACACTGAAGCATGTATAGCAAACTCATAGGAAAAATAACCGTCGGTGCAACTGGAATGAAACCTGTTGCTCTCGTGGAATAAAGTAAAGTTCGATGCCGCAGACTATGTTTCGTTTACAATTTCAGTTAAAGTAGGAGCAAGTCAAATGTTTGAAAAGTGCTCAATGAGTTTAACTTGTATGGCTTACATTGCGGTCACTTCTTTCCACAGTTTGGAAACATCAGTTGTGAAGGAAAGCTTGGGTACAGTAACAAGAGGCTGATGAAAAGACACAAGAAATCCTCATCACGATCCCAGCAACCTAATCATATTTCAGGTTGGAATATTATGGATGAAACAGCTAAGGTCTCAAATGTTGTCAAAGAATGCGAGGAACATCAGCGTTTGCAACAAAAAAAAACTTAGTTCCAATCGAACCACTAAGCAGCAAATAGGGGAAAATCTTTCACATAATATCAAGCTCATACACACCTTCTCTTGACACTTCTTTGTAATAAAGATAGGAGGAAGAGGAATCTGATATATGAAACCATGAATTTGAAGATGGCTTCGAAAACTAAAACCACCCCAAAGATTTGAATGGAACAGTAACAGAGTAGTGCAAACAAGCGTACAACAAATCTTGAAGGAGTCGCTCACGGAACATCGACTTCTCTTTAGCCCCACGTCCGCTGTCGTCACTAGAGGCCAGCTCCGAACGCGGAAGTTCACTTACCAGAGAGTATTAAACCTCTGGTAATGTCCATTCAGATGGGAACGAAGCCTGACCCAGAAGGTCGCCGGAACAAATTGCGTGGCTGTCGCGATCAATGTCGACTGTCAATGTCGACTTCCTATGCAATGCTTATGCATTCTTGGCTGATTGAATGGAAGATTTCATTGCTGTAATGTTTTGGCGTATTTAAGCGCTCTGGAATTGCACCAGAGCGCTTTTTGCTCTGTTGGAAGGATAGGTGGTGAGTAGAGAATAAAGGTTGTTGAACCACCGAGTCAGTTTGGTGCATCGTGCCAAACACTTGTAAGAGTTGCTAAGAAAATCTGGTTCGTGAACCAGTGGTCAGGAAAGCTGATCGAAGTGGCCCGCAGAGGTCCCCATCGAAGCGAAGGATGGAATCTATCATATACGGTAAACCCATCTTAAATGGTGTTCTTACGCTCAGATCGCTTATAGCGAATTTCAGAGAGTACACGAAAACGCCCGACCTTTCACAAGATGATGAAGAGCAGTATGAAAACACTGCAGGCCATAGACCTCATTAAAGGCAGTATCTCGCAAATCAGCTCTGCCAAGTATGAGTTGCAGTCGTTAGTCGAGAAAATGAAGAGTGACTATGATACCGTCAAAAATAAGGATGACAAGAAGAGTATCTTGCAGGAGCTAGAAAAAATAGAAGAGGAGGCAAAATACACTGCCGTCTTGAATGAAGCAAGGAAATGAACCTGATGCTGAATACCCGACTTACTGAAGCCTGCAGCAATGAGCGAAGACTTCTTCGAAAGCTAGGAAAATACGTCAGACCTCAAGGCGTTCAGGAAAACAGTCTCGTTCATCCACTAACTTACGAGAGCACTACAGCCGAACCTATTTCGCCGGAACCGAATCATTTGTCCGGTACGATCCCACCACCAAGGATAAACCTTCCGAAGTTTTATGGAAATGAACAAGAATTTCCCTGAATTCTGGGCGGCGTACGAAACGTTAGTTCACAATAATCGATCATTGACGGTAATTGAGAAAATGCTACTTTTCAAAGAGAGCTTACGGGGTAAATCAGATAGAGCGATCAAGGGAATACAACTCTTACCCCAGAACTATCAGTGGATGATAGAAACACTCACCAAAAAGTATGGGAACAAACCAGCTAATCGCTCACGTATAGTCCAACGGCTCCGAGACCTCCCCCCAGCGGACAGAAGGGCCGAGAGCAGTGAACAGACATACGACAAGTTATGTGTCTTTTGAATCAGACGCTATCAGCGGGACAAGATATTCGGGCAACGAAAGATGCTATGTGGAGCCAAGCAATCCTCAGTAAATTCACAGAGATATAGTTGAACCGGTGCTTGTCAAAATGCGGGAACAGGACGATACCACCGTTCGAAAAGCATTCATGCAAATGATAGAAACGGAAATGGCAGCGAAATCACATATATTCAGTCAAGAACTCGGTTGAATGAACCCAATGAGAGGGCATCAGAGTTCCGATATTCGCGGCTTCAAAAATGTGCAATCTGTGACAAAGATAACCACTTTGCTTGGCAGTGCACGACACCCCTCACGGTTGCAGGAAAGCGGCAGCATCAGCAGCGCGGCAAATTACGATCCTCTTGTCACATACCCCGCCATTAGACTGAAGGAAGATCAGCCCTCCAGGAAATTTATGAGAACGAAAGGGCTCACCCGCGGTTGGCAAAACTAAAGGCGAAAGATGCTATCAAGAAAATGTCAAAAGGCTGCCAAAGTTCGGCAATCTATGTCACATGCACATTTGACTCTGTTTACAATCACCATGATCGTTATTACAGTTTTGGGTCCAACAGTGGATGCCTTCTCAATGACAAGACTCCTTTTTTTACCCCACTGAACGGCACATTCCAACTCTGCATGCGGTCCACTTGCAGATACTTTCTGGATAGCTCACCAAATCTCACATTTCAGCTGCCGCCAACGGCACGCAATGAGGTACTACCAGTGTTATTCTTTACCAGGTTTATTTCTTTACCAGTGTTATTGGATATTTTCCTGAAGAAAAATATAAGCAGATACAGGAAAACTGCGTTCTACCCCATGTATGTGACGTATCACAAACCCTCATGTCGAGACATTTGCTTGGCAACCCTCACTGTTGGCCAATAGGAGCACTCATATCCATGGGAACTTTCATTTACCTGATCATCTCCACGATCGCTCTTATTGTGAAATGCATACTGTCGCGCGAACGGTACCCGTCTACCGCAACTGTCCGCGATGTGAACGCAAGTTCAAATCCTGAGGATGCCAATCGGCGCAGCGCTAGAGGCGGTAAACGTCGAGCTCCAGTCGTTTCGGCCATCCCACTTTCTCGCACTAGCATGAGCACCGCGCTTGCAGTGATTATTTCTGCCGCATTACTGCACGACCTAGGAGATACATGTCAGCAGGGGTTCACCAGGCACAATGTAGAGGTGATTTGTACATCAGAGAATGCCTGCTCAATCGAATTTCGCCGAGAAATTCTGTTTGTCGAGATCCATAAAATGGCTTGCATTGATATTTTCCTATGCAAACAAATCGGTAGGGGTTCTTCAAATCGAAAAATTGCCATTGGAACTAGAGTGTGCGAAGCGCACTTTGTTCTATACACGTGATACCAACCTGAAAGTATACAGCACAATGCGATGTGCGCTAGTAGGCTCCTGTAAGCAAAACGCATGCTCTATGATTAAGCCAGACAGCATGATCAAAGAGTTTGCCAATGCATCTCAATACCCTGGGTACACGGGATGTGAACCGTCCTGTGGAGGGCTATATGCGGATGTTTGCTGCCACTCCCATCGTGTTCATTCTACCGGATTGCTCATATACCCAGAAACAGCGATGTTTACGAAATTGCTACATGCATGGAATGGAAACCGCTTGTACGGATCAAAGTCCAATTCAGTCTGCATGACATGGCTATGAGCAGAAGAGTAACACTTCGGCCGTACGTTCGTCAGAAAATAGGTGACACCTCATTCACAGTAATATCCATATCGACGCCGTCAGATCAGCTGTTGAAAAGCAGATTCGCATTATCTGAACATGAAGCGTTGATTGTTCCAGAGGGTGATAACATGCCTATCGAATGTAGCTCGCCCGACGAAGCTAGGGACCATATTTCAAACTGCAAGAACAACGTATTTGCCACTGCGATGCAGATCCAGCCCCTGCACGCTGTTATTGTCCTCATGGGGGCATCACCAGGAGTGTTATCTCAAACATTCTTCCTGTGTCGAGCCCTGTTTCTGAAATTGAACAAAAGATAAACGTCAATAGTCGAAAGAAAGAAAGCACCAAGTACTATATATCGTTCAGCAGGTCTGCAACATCTCTCTAACCGAGATAACAGGATGTTATAGTTGTCAAGAGGGCGCAAACCTAATCGCATCATGTACAACACCTACCCACACATGGACTATAATCCAATGCGATACCCATGTTTTCTCCGTAGAGTGCAGTCCTCTTGGGAAAGAAAACACGATTACACTAGACTTTCAACGAGCGATTGTTAAGCAAAATTGCTTTGCAGAGTGCAACAATCGTACTATACATATGTCCTTGAATGGTTCTCTAGTGTACCTTCCACATATGAACGATGAGGAAATCTTCATTTCTAACATCGCAACATGGAACTCAACCAAGTGGTTTCGAGACTGGCAAGCGATTGACTTTGGCCCAATGCTCAGGGTAGTGAAAAACCACTGGAAAGCATCTCTCGTCATCCTTGGCACTGTAGCCACCTTTAGTGCGGCGACCTACCTTTTTGGACCTACCATTGTACTAGCCGTTCTCCAAATACTCGTGAAAGGCCATGGTTCCGCCAAGCTTGTTTTTTCTTTTCATGCTTTTCACTCTGAAAGCTATCGGAAAGCTAACAATGAGTTGCATACTACAACCAGTCGTGGCTCAATGACGAGGGAATAGTATCCGTGCAAAAGGCGTGAAAACAAAATTGTCAATCCACTATCAGCACTGTAGTTGTATCAACTACAGTGCTGATACACTGTAGTTGATACAACTACAGTGTATCAGCACTGCAGCGAAGTATCAGCATTGTAGTTCGCTGTGCTGATACACTGTAGTTCTTATCAGCACAGCGAACAGTGCTGATACGAACTACAGTGTATCAGCACTGTAGTTCGTATCAGCACTGTAGTTCGCTGTGACGAATCGACGATTCTCTTCCAACCGTCCGCAGCGAACTACAGTGCTGATACACTGTAGTTCGCTGCGGACGGTTGGGCGTGTCAGCCAGAATGAGTGTGCACAGCAACAAAGCCGTTCTCTGCCTTTTGTTGAAGCGCGCATGCGACAAAAAGTGGTAGAAAACGAGTAATACGAACGATATGATACAGTATTGTCACTTGCCCGCTTCAACAACTGGTGGAGAACGAGTTTGGCACCGCGCCAAACGCACTGACACGCCCAACCGTCCGCAGCGAACTGCACTATACAATGGACGAGGTTGATCTCGCCATACACATCGAGCCTCTCACGGATGCTATCAAAGATCTGAAGGAACAACTCAACCTTTTGTGATGTCGTTCAATACCAAAATGGAAGCCATGGGAGACCTTGTCAGTCGTCAATGCAGTGGTGTCAATCTAAAATCTTACTCATGGAAAGGACAAAGCCCCACTCAAGCTGCCTCTTCTGTTCTGTCGGAGAGAACTGCGATAACCATCCAACAGGACGATGCTGCAGATTTCCTGGCGCAGTTTCTCGGGCAATTCAAGTCACCAACTTACGCTTGTGCCGTCGAAACACAACGAAGATTGCGGCATCCAATGCTCATTCTGCGGGAAAGAGCACAACGTGCTTATATGCCCAAGTAAAGCTTCCCTTGGAACGTCGTCATTCAAAAGAAGAAAGTTCTAAGCTTTCGTTGCGGCGGGAGGGAGCGTGCGCCATTACGTCACCGTTCAGCGCACATCTTCCTCGCCGCCTGCTCCACAGTGATAACCCCTCCCACCTTTCGTCCCATTCATTCCATCTGCAAGGCTCGTCACTGCGACTGTATTTATTCGACCGTGTCGGCTGCCTGCCGGTCTCGCTGTCGGCTTATTCTGTCGGCTTATCGATCTGCCGCCGAAGAAACATCTCGACATCGCCTTGTATTCCTTTGAAATTCGGCGCTACTCGCCCCTGTTTACTTCGTCAGCATTATTCTGTGCAACAGCTACTCTCGACGTTTTCGGCTCTGCTTGCTTAATGGACTTGCGGGACTTTGGCTAGCTGGACGAAGCCATTTGCTCTACCGTCGCTTTCACTACGCTGTTCGTTGGAACGATGACGTCTGATAGATTCATTTGCTTTGGTTGGTTGCGCAATTTTGGTCGATCTATTTGATTAAAGTTGCTTTGTGTAATTGATTTTGCATTGATTGTTGGCTGATCAAATGGAAGATGATCTCATTGCTTTAATGTTTTGGCGTATTTAAGCGCTCTGGAATTGCACCAGAGCGCTTTTTGCTCTGTTGGAAGGATAGGTGGTGAGTAGAGAGTAAAGGTTTAAACCACCGAGTCATGGAAAGCATGGAAAATCGCACGGCACTGACGGATTTATCCATTGCCGTGGGTACCGACTGAGTAAACCTTCACCTTGTAGGAAAAACGCACTTTCCGCAGTGTAAAGCCATGTGAGTAGGTATGTACGCTGGCCTGACCGAATTCTTATGGTGGATCTTGATTAAACTCCCACATTTGTTCCGTAGTGTCACAGTAATGGGTGCGATTACGCAACGGAAACCTCGTGTGGAACACTTGATTTTGATTCGCAGTTGCTATCTGCATCCTTACAATAACTACTATGACTTATATCTTCCAGTGAGCTCTGAGAGGGATAGAGAAGACAAGGTACACAAAGCGCGCGGGATCCAAGCTAAGACGTGCCCGCGGATGGTGAGGCGTACGCCGAAAATAGCGCTGCCAACGAGAAAAACTGTCATCAGAAGTAAATGGCAACCCTGCACATACTGACGACTAAACATACTTGACATGCGAAGACAGATTCATTATTCTACACAACATCAATGTCATAGGACTCGCGCCTCGAAAGTATTCGCTGTTGGTGATATATGCTCCTGAATAGGGGCATTGTATTATGTGAATGCAACAACTGCGTGTGCGCCATTGTTCGTTGTCGTTCAGGTTTGTTTAAGCAGGCTAAGGCCTTAACCTCATCTTAACCGGTGACTATAGTAGAGATGACTGTCAAGCTCCTGGCCGATGCGGATGGGGAGCCATGAAGAGAGTTCAAAAGTGAGAGCACCACGTCATGGACTAAAGTGGAACATAAGCGTCATTTATGAACGGCGGCATAATGGAAGAAATCTTGAGTACTTTGATGTTCAAATTCAATTCACTATTATTACTATTACCGGGCAAACATTATGTCAGTGAATCAGGACGCGAAATAGAACCTCGTTCAGCTGACAGTATCACACTGAATCTTCGATATTAGGTTGTCCGGAAAGTTCTCAGCGTTTTGTGTTACTATTTTTTGTACATTCATTGCTGATTAAAAACTCATTCTCCCTTGCGTCTCAGTAGTACATCCTGAAGAGAATTTTTTGCGCTATCTGATGGTATAATTGCCGTTTCACCATTGCTTGATAAACCCCCTTTTCCCAAGACTTTTTGAAGCATGTCAAAAGAGCAACTTCGGACGATATTTTTCTTCAACTACAAATTGGGTCAATCCGCAGTCGAGACAGCTCGACAAATTAACCAGGTGTGGGGGCCCAATAGTGTTGGAGAAAGCACCGTGCGACAATGGTTCGACAAATTTCGTTCTGGAGATTTCAGCCTTGAAGATGAACCTCGTAGCGGTCGACCTAAAGCAATACCTGACGAGGATTTGAAGGCGTTTGTGGAGGCTGACCCATCCCAAACAGTTCGAGAGATTGCAGAAAAGCTAGGCGTTGGCAAATCCACTGTTGCGGATGGTCTGAAACGCATTGGGAAGGTGAAAAAACTCGACAAGTGGGTGCCCCACAATTTGAGTGACCGGCAGAAATTGGCACGTCTCGAGGTTTCTTCTTCACTGCTTTTGCGCAACAGAAACGACCTGTTTTTGGACCGAATTGTCACCTGTGATGAAAAATGGATCATGTATGATAACAGGAGACAGTGGTTGGATGCCGACGAACCACCGAGGCAATTTCCAAAGCCGAATCCTCACGAAAAAAGATTATGGTCACAGTGTGGTGGTCATCGGCTGGTGTGATCCACTATAACTTTTTGTCACCAGGCCAAACCATCACAGCAGAGTCCTACTGTGAAGAAATCGACGAAATGTACCGAAAATTGCGTCAGCTGCAGCCAGCACTTGTCAACAGAAAGGGTCCGATTCTTTTGCATGACAACGCCCGCCCACACGTTTCACAAATCACTATCCATAAATTGAACGAATTGGGGGTTGAAGTTCTACCTCACCCGCCATATTCTCCAGACCTTTCACCAACCGACTATCACCTTTTCAAACATTTTCAGAACTTCCTTGCTGGAAAATACTTCATCAATCAGGACCAGGCAAAAAAGCCTTCGTGGATTCTCGACCACCCAGTTTTTTTCTTTGATGGGATTTATCGACTGGTGTCACATTGGCAAAAGTGTGCTGATTCGAACGGTGCTTATTTCGATTAAATCCGATGAGTATTAAGAAAGTTATGATCGTTTAAAGTGAAACACTCAAAACGCTGAGAACTTTCCGGACAACCTAATAATAAATACCAGAAAAGTAATCAAGAACGACATCGTGGTAGTAGAAGACAGATGAAAAAACGTAAATCTAAATCCGCAAACGGTCTAGGCAAATGCAGGGGCAACAGCGAAGTATATTGCAAACCATTCTTACGGACCCTTATAACTCCCTTAGGAAAATAAAGAAAACGTTGCCATCGACCATTGTTAAATCGCGTTCAGACTCCACGATCGCGCGACCCAATGGAGCGAACTGATTGCGAGGTCGCCAAATCTGAACGCGCTTTTGAAGGGTTATAGCTTGGTCCGGCTATGATTGTCATAGTTTCCGCAAAAGCTGGCTAGTTGTTTCGAGGAATTTCCTCACACTTGCTGGGTGTGGAATTCGGTGGCAGCATAAAAAACAACAAGCAATTGAAAACAATTCGTGGGACTTGCAGGTGGTATCAACGCACGTTTCAGAAATCCTTATATTCGTCCAATCTGGAACGCTCGCCGTAAGCTCACACTCTGCTACGGCTGGCAGGCGAATGGCGTAGCTGCCAACTGTCACAGCGCTGCTGAAGCGACTAAGCGCAATTGCCACTCCATCCTTACCTCTGCAGCTCGTTGTTTTCTCCTGACAACTCGTCCAGGTCACACATCATTTTGACTTCTGCAGGACTGACGTGCTTCATCGACCTACACTGGTAGGACGCCATCATAGAAAGCAAATCTAGTCCTGATAGTGTTATTCTGTCACTGACCAGGAGAATTTTTTTGAGTGATTAGTTGGAGTTGAAACCATTACAGCTGAGGTTTCACCGTGAGAATATGGTTCAGTTGGGATTAACATCCTGAAATCGTTCTGAAGTCGGCGGCGGATCAATGTACACACAAGTAGAGTCAGAGTTGGGAAGTTTCTAGAAAAGAAAACTTGTAGTCACTATAAAAACATTTTGTACTGAGAAAATTTAATAAATAAACAAGTGTTGCTACAGTGTTGAGAATGCTTGTGCAATAACCTAGCACATAGTGTAGCGTTGTAAATAAGCAGCAGCATAAGCTATGCATACTGCGAGCAGAATGGAATTCGCGAAGATTTTCGGAACACGCAAAAGACGGTGGGAAGCGAGAGTCGTGGAAAGGGCAGGATACGCGATACGATAAGTGTGAAATATCGCCACAAAAAAGACGCCGAGGTTCTGTTGAACGGCACACCAAGCACACCTCACACCGCAA